ATGGGTGATAGAACAAGGGGAAACGGGCATAGCTTAGTCAGGGGAGATTCAGGTTGGATGTTAGAAAGTATTTCTTCTCTGAAAGGGTTGTCAGCCACTGGAATAGGCTGCCCAGGGGGGTGGTTGAGTTCCCATCCCTGGATGTGTTTAAGAATAGGGTGGATGAACTGCTTAGGGATATGGTTTAATGGGGATTAGGGATGGTTGGACTCGATGATCTATAAGGTCTTTTCCAACCTAGAAATCTATGAAATCTATGTTCAACCACTAACTCTGCTAGTGCTAAAACTCCTTGTACAAGCAGGACTGTCATACACCAGTCAACTCCATCTGGAAAACCAACAGAAGGACAGGTTGTTTCATGAAGTACAGCACAAAATAGACTAAACCCATCCATATTTCAGCATTTTGATTACAGTCCTTCAAAAGTCATTATAATGAGTGTTTGAAATATATGCCTTTTACAGAAGTCCATGTGAACTTTGTGCTTTGTGGTTTGCAATGTCTGTGTGAAACAGAATAAACTAAGGTAGTGAACTGCAGCATCGCTATTGCTGATGGAACTTCAAATCTCATTAGGCTCATCTCCAATTCCAGCAATCGCAATTTCTTCATTCCAACACTGAGCCAAACCATTAAGACCAGTAACAGCTGTTCCATGATTGTTCATACAGGTACCAATTCTATGTAGGAGATCATCTGAAACTGTCCAAAACCCATATTGTTAAAAAAGTAATTCATTTCACCTGTGCAACATCAACGAATTTTCGATGTTTCTCCAGTAAAACTTTTGTTTCTTGAGTATCATCTCCCAATCGGATGTGTGTCTTCAGCAGAGCATCCAGTAGTTCACTTAACCATTCTACTGCCTTAAAAACACAAGTTAAAAGAATAAAACCTAGTAAATCAGAAAGAAATTAATCCAGAAGGGTGAAGCAACTTCAGTACTAGCATATATCACAAGCTGGTAGGTCATGCATGGAATCACCAAATATACTATTTTCAGTCATTGCTGTGTTCTTTATTTTCACTGTAAATTCACTAAACAAAATTACATTTGACAAAAATAATACTGTACAACTATCAATCCACACAAGTTTAGCCAGTGGACTACAAAGACCAGAACGATGAAATTTCCGTGGGCATTTCCATACCTGAGCGGCATCCTCTTCACATTTAAATAACTGTACCATCTGAAGCATCTTCAGTCGCCGCACATCCACCATATCCTCGCACCTTAAACAGTAGCACAGACTCACCAACACATGTAGAGCAGACAATACACTCACTTTGACAGCGATGTTTTTAGTGAGCAACATTAAGATGCAAATGTTCACGTAAAGCTGATTAAAGCATTTCTGTGCTGCTTAGCTTGGCCAAAATACGTAATGCCTCACATAACAATAAGAAACGTGCAATAAATAGAACTGAGCACTACAACCCACTAAAATCACCACCCTCAAGACTCCCAATATGGTTACGCTATAGATACTGATACCAGCAGTAGCTACAAGGCCTTCCAGCTGCATGGCAGGTTCCTAACCTTGTTGCTCTGGTAAGATTTGCAAGTCACGCAGAGGCTCACATGGCTAAGACCGACCTTTTCCTACTGAAGTCTAGGTGAAAGCTGGCTTAAACCTAGCATAATTCTGAATGGTACTGTGAACTGGTCACAAAGTTTTCTTAGAGAATAAAATGAGGACTGATAAAGGATGTTAACCATAGAACGGTTTGGGTTGGAAGGGACCTGAAAAATCATCTAGTTCCAACCCCCCTGCCATGGGCAGGGACACCCTCCACTACACCAGGTTGCCCAACGCCTCATCCAACCTGGCCTTGAACACCTCCAGGGATGGGGCATCCACAACTTCTCTGGGCAACCTGTTCCAGTGCCTTGCCACCCTCTGAGTGAAAAATTTCTTCCTTATATCTAATCGAAATCTGCCCTCTTTCAATTTAAAGCCATTTCCCCTTGTATAATCACTACATGTCCTTGTAAAATAAGCTTAATAAATCTTTTTCCTTTTTTCTTTTTAGCTAACTAAAGATTGTAATAATTGAACCCTTATACGATGATGTCCTTTGCTATAACTTGTCAGGAAGTATTTCAAAATCTAATTCATATAAAAACTAATTTTAATACTCTTGTTCTGAATTAAGCATATTTTGCAGTTATTATCGAAAGTTCTTTTCTTTCCACAGTGAGAGCTATGCTAATACATTTAGCAGAATGACTTTTCCACTTAAATTTCAGAGCCTACTAAGTAGATAGCAAGATTCAGACTCGTGTCCAGTGCAAATGGAATTACTAATGTCAACAACAGTTAGCACTATAAGTGAATGCAAAAGATGGTATGCACAGATCTGTTTTTTCAAACCGGTTGCAAACATAAGCACTTCCAAAGAACAGTTGTTACCATGCTGCATTTTGTTACATGTCCTGTAGTGCTTACAGAAAGGAAATTTGTTGCTCTAATAATGCAGGAAAGCAGTTTATGGGTTCTAAAAGAATAAATAAAGCAGCAAAATGCTCCTAAAAATAAACATTAGGTGTATATCAATAAATGAGAAACAGTCAATAGAATTTGGAAAAAAAAAAGAATTGTCCCAAAAATTACTATTAAATGCTACTATTGAGAGATAGTAGTCCTTATTGTATTTTTTTGCCTCGCCTCCAGACTGAAGAACTTTGTTTAATCATTCATCATCCAGAAGCTGCTTTGTATCTCTGTCTGAACATTTTATTGACTTTTTGATCCTCAAATTTACTTCTCATAATTCTATATCCCTTTTCACAGAATCACAGAATGTTAGGGATTAGAAGGGACCCCAAAGGATCATCTAGTCCAATCCCCCTGCCTGAGCAGGACCACCTAGATCAGATCACACAAGAACGCGTCCAGGTGGGTTTTGAACATCTCCAGAGAAGGAGACTCCACAACCTGTCTGGGCAGCCTTTTGAGAATAGAGACCAGAATTGTGTAACACTTAAAACAAAAATGTACACTACAAATCTATACAGTGACACAGTGACATTTTCCTTTCAGTTTTCTATTCCTTTCCCAATTATTTGGGTGTTCTACTTGCTTCTTACAGTATGAGTGAACATTAAAGCAATTTTTGCAAAAGTTTTCCAATGTTTATCTTTGACTTAACAGCTGGTTTAGAATCCATTACTACATATGCAAAGTTTTTCCTTCTCTTACGCGCATTTCTCTTCTCGGTACTGAATTCCAACTACCATTTTATTGCACAATGACACATGGTCCTCTATAGCTCTTCACAGTTGGCCCTCTAAACACACGTGCTGCTCAAGTAAATAGGATTCAGAGGACACACTTTTAAGTATAATATATATTGTAGTATATATAATAATATATAATAATATAGAACAGTACCTTTTCTAAGTGTTATCAAAACTCATGGTTTCTTACACTAAAATACCTACAAAAACAATTTGTGAATGGTAGAATTAATTCCTAAAATAAGCAACTTGATGCTCATCAGACCTTGTTGTTCCCTAGAGACACCTTTTGTTCAGCCATTGCCCTCAAAGTTTAGGCACTTTCTATGGAGAGCACTTTATTGTCTCAGGGGTTCCAGCAGTATCAATGAGCAACATCATCTGATTCTGCCACTTTTGAGCAGAAAAAAAAAGGCAGTACTACTGCACCTTTAAGAAAAAATAATCCATGAAAGGCTTGGAAGAAGAGGATGATGGCAGAATCCATCCTTCTCGCAAATTCAATTCTCCCCAGCATTTTTCTCTACTACAACTTTATTCCTCACCCTATCTTTTTCGAAAACTCACAAAAAACCCATGTTTTGAAAACTGAACTCTGCCTCCCATTTTGTACCCTGGCCCCCTGACACCAGCTCATCTTTCTTCCTGTCATCAGGAGTGAAAACGCAACGTTCAAAGGGCAGATGCTCTGAAAGAGGAGAAACAAGTGTGTACATAACACATAATTTTAGAGCCATCATCACTACTATAGTCTTAGTATACCTTCCATCTCAAACTGCTAACACATAAAAGATGCCTCTTGCATCCATTCCTTAACTCTGTATAAAAAGGAATGTATAATTCTTGAGCATTTACAAGTACAGGAAAGCACTCAAATACTCCATCCAGTACTGAAATACAAAAGGTGCTTGGATTTAGGAATATGCTGCAACAGACTAAGCAGGGAAGCTTATGTCCCATTTAATTTATATTTGTAGTGTATCTACAGTTGTACTATATCACTTAACTGAAGATAAAGCAAAATGGTCTCTTTAAAAAAATATATATATTATATATACATATATAAAATTACATATATTTATATATATGTATCATTATATATATTTTATAAATATATATCACGACCTATCAGCACACAAAATCTTAATGACTAGAACTGTTGATATTACCTTTGTTTTCTAAGCTGCATATCTTCCATCACTCCTTGGATATGGTCCACATTTTCTTTGTTTTCAATGGTCACATCTTTTCCATAGGCCCAGGATGCCTGATTAGAGATCTGATCAAGAAGACTTTGACCTTTCTCACGCAAGCCTTGCAAGCCTAAGTCTAAGGAATAAAAGAAAAAATGAAACTAAATAGTCATTCTTATAAATTTGTGGGTTTTTTTTTTTCTCAAATAGAGCTATGAAATGCAACAGAACCTGAGATGGAAGGCTGGAAAATGAAAAGGACATTATGTCTTTCATTGCCCTTTCCAACTTTTAAGTGTGAGTGAGCATTTGTCTATACTAATGAAGAGCTAAGGCTTTGCTATTTTATGACCTAGAAGATAACAAGAGAAGGAATAAAAGCCGACAGTGGGTATTAACTTTTCAGCATATAAATAGCTAATTAATATCTTTCATCCACACAGTTGCACAATACCTAAAGTATTTATCACTGCTAAGCAGTTGTAGCCTGAATGTTCTTCCATGCCTGGTAGAAGTTACTACTTTATAATACATCTGACATGGCTGATACATTTTTCTATACTGAGATATGCCAACCCTTAGAATCTGCTGTTACATCTATTATTTGGCAGCTCTACTCCCTGTTTTCCTAAAGAAAAATCTAGTTTATTCATCAAACTGTTACATTCCAATCATAATTACTTCTACCATATATGGTTTTGCTTCAAAGCTTTTTCTCCTACAACATATTGGACTAGATGATCATTGTAGGCCCCTTTTAACTGGAATAATCTATTCTATATGCTTGACAGTATAAACAACCTTAAACATGCCATTTATTAACATGCACATTCAAAGCTACTGCTCAGCACAAACGTTCTAAAACTGAGTAGATAATCCTAATCATGAAGTGGTCAGTTCTAGACACAAAAAGATCATCTAAGTACTATATTCCTAAGATATTAAGGATGATTAGTGAGGAAAAAGTTTGTTTACAGATGAAATGCATTATAATAGTACATAACAAATCTATATTACATGTAAAACATTTAAAAGAAAACACTTCCAAATCATTTTCCCAGATAGAAATACTATGCAGTAGATAGCATAAGCAAGTCAAAGGTAGTTAGGTGGAGCACTACTTAGCTACGAATCGAAAGAGATGTTATTTTTTCTGCTGTCTTTTTTTAAAGGAGGTGGTGAGATTACTGGATGTTTTTTGTAATGCATTCATTAGAATGTGTGTATCTGAAACACAAATATTTTGCTTACCAACACTTTTCAATTTCTCTTCTAGTAGTTTTAAAGTTTGTTGAATTGATGCTCCATCTGCTGGTGCTACATCTACACACAACATTCCTAGTAAGCCATCCAATTGCTGAGACAACTAAAATGAAAAATAACATAAATATTGATATTTATAAATAAGTTTTGAGCTTCAAATGGTTGAGTCTGCACTCTTCTTCTAAATGTTTGGAAATCTGTCATTTTAGAAGTCACTCTTTGCATCTCTAGGAAATGAAAGTCAACGTGGAAGATAAATGACTCATCTGCCTATAAAATTTCAAGAGTATACATCTCTAGATGGGGAGGGGGGGGAAGCCAAGTTGTTTTTTTAGACAAGTATAGGAAAGGAATAAATGCGAATTTAAAAAAGAAACTGAAAAGTACACCAAATTGCAGTTTAGTTAATGCATATGCTTCTAATTTTAAAAAATACCAAGAAAAACTGACTTTTTACCTAGTAACCATTTTATTTCAAAAGCTATTGAAATGTAAGACGTATCAAAAAGCACTTCCCTCCTAAAAAAAGAGGAAATCCATCTTCTTAGTGTTTCAATTATAGTAAATGAAGGCTTACTGCATTGTCCAAATGACATTGCATTTTCCCCAACTCCCTAAATTTTTTCCCATGTATTCAACATTTATAATACTAAGGCAATAATATATTGACAGGTGAGCCTGTGAAAAGTTGAAAAGAAAAACTTACATCCTGGGCAACACTGTGGAATTCAAGTGCTGCTTGTAATAGATTCTGCCTGAATTCCAGCTGGCTTGCCTGCCGGTAACACACATCACTCAGCTGTTGCTGCAATGCTTTCAATTCCACAAGGTCCTCCTCATCCCCTGCATTTAGAAGAGCTGCTATCTGCTGATTAAGCTCAACATAAACAGCAAACCACTCCTACAAACACAAGAAAATTAAGCATTAAATTAATACCAAACATAATTCTATTTCTCTTAAAATGTCATACACCTAACTGCAGACTAATCAATAATCAGGCTCAAAAAAGGAACTTACTACAGCTTACACTATAATTATGAAATCTCACACAGGAGTTAAAAACATTCCTAATTTCCAATCAACTCAAAAAGAGCTTAGTGCATTTTAATAGATGTACTGTAGTATAAAACAAGGATGCAGAAAGATGGGAAGATCACAAGGCATGGCTACCAGCTCCCATCACAAATTCCCACTCAAACTATTTTACTGAACCAACAGAGGAATTCCACCATTTTTAAACAAATTTCTAATGCTTACATGTTTATAGTGCTCTCCTGAAACAAAAGACCTTTTGCCAAGGGGTAAGCTATTACAAAAAGCTGTTCATAAGTCTACCTAGGCGTCACTTTCATTGACATCCTTGAAATCAGCAATAATTTTCTTAAACCATTTAGAAAGAAATACTACTGTCACCAAAGTATAAGTAATCTCTATCTTCTAAGTAAGACAGAGTATCCATGTTCAGGAACTTCAAATGACCCTTGTTTCCTATTTAAGGAAAGCTTTCTATTACTCAATTCAAATTGTCCCGATTTGTTTTTCTAGTGCTTTGATTACTGAATCTATACATAGGAGTTAGTTATGTTGTCATGGTGGTATATTTGCAAAAGAAAATAGTTCAGATGTTTAACAATTCTGGGAGATTTAAAAACTACTTGATACATCAAGATCACATTCACATCTTGCATGACTGAGATGCCTGTAAAGCAAAACATGTTTGCTCAACAGCTTTTATTTTGGCCTACAGTAAGGCGACCTTCAAACGCCCTACGCGTTTCTAATGCTATGGAATAGCACCATCTATTGGCCTAAAATATCTGATTTAATTAGTATTCTTGTCACTCTCCTATTGGGATGCTTGTAATTTTTTAAAATTATGCCTTCAGCTTTTGCATCATTTCTTTACAAAGCATGCAAAATATTGAGTAAAAATATCCATATTCTGAAATTTTTTTTCTTTTTATCCAAAGCTGCCTCTACCATCTGCTCACAGGAAGAAACTAAGTATGGAAAGATGCAAGGAGGGGAAAAAGCAATGAAAAAGTTTGCAACCAGCCAAAAATTTAAGAGCAGAATAAATCTCTCATCTATCCTAAAAGGGGCAACTGAGACGACATAATATGGAAACATCTTCCATTGTCACACATGTACTATAGATACATAGGTTTAATAAACTCAGTTTACACAACGCAACTCTTGTGTTCGACGTCTAAAGGTAGTAACAAAAGCTTATGAGTGTGACAAGTCAACTATAACATAAGAAGTCAAACAAAAAATCTAGATTAATAATTTTTATTTTTAGCATTAAATAAGTAAAACAGTTGTAGTACTTGATTTGGTCAGGCTATCAGTGAAATTAGGAGGCTGGTAAACCAGTCCTCTCCATAGGGGAAAGTTAAGCACAACTGTACAAGACAGCTTAAAACCATGGAGAAAAAGGCCAATATTTGCTCAAAAATAACACCTTTAGTATATTGCTCATGAATAAAACAGTCAGAAAATGAAAATCCAAAAAAAAACCCCACCTCCCTCTCCAAATCAAACAAAAACCCCAGAATATTCCAAACAAGGAAAAAAAAAAGTCTCCCTAAGAAAAAAAAAAAATCTCCCTAAGAATTTTTTTTTTTCACTTCAGAGTAAATACAAGTAAAAAAGCCAATCTTTAGAACAAATCGAACATTTTTTCAAGTATCTTCAAAACAAAAGTAATATAATCAACAATAAATAGGAGATGATGAAAGAAAGCAAGCATACAAGCTGTCAATTCAATTATTAGGAGAAAAAAATAGGAAAATACTGAAAGAGGAAGATTACACTCAGCTATTATGAGATGTTTAATAATCCAAGGGAAGAGGCAAAGCACATTTCCCAGTGCTGTTAAAAAAATTGTTTTAATTTATAAAAAAACATCTACATTTAAGGTAAGCCAGTGGTCTCCCAATTACCAATTCTGGTATAAAATAATATAAAAAAAATAATTAAAAAAATAATTTTTCTGACTGTTGGCACCAGTGTTTCATGTTGTCACTGCTTTAGTGATGACCAAACCGTAGGCTGGCCTGCAAAGTTCAGTGGGATTTCAGTGATTTCAAGGATTGTATTTAGTCCCAGCTAAAGCATAGTTCTGTTACAAACATCCAGGTGAGAACAAATTACATCCAATCTTGTTTTCGCTCTTGAGTTTGAAGTGCTAATATGACTGAAAGATATTCAAAATTATTTTTGTCAATGAAGTAGGCGGGGGATTATTTTTTTTTTCCTTGCCAATTAGGATTTTAACTGTAAGATGTTTTACACTTCATATTATAACCCAGTGATCATTTTCTTTGCCATGACTGTAAAGGGAACTTAGGAAAAGTGGACAGACTTGTCAATATCTACGTCACAGAAAGTCAGAAAGAGCAACACTCCTTTTGGGAACACTGAATATTCATATCCCAATTACAGTTAATCATCTGATGGAAAGATAAAATTCTACTGAACCTTAGGAAGTCTTCAAAATTAGAACCAAAGCCATCAAGTCAGTACGGTTACAAAACAGTCTCTTCAAGATTTCATTATAAATTATACAATATAAATTATAACTTTATAACATAAATTATATCTTAAGTCTTAATCAATTAAAGTGTTAAGCCAGTTTCAGCTACTGGTAAACGTAGTTTACTAAAGACAAAAATATTAACTTATTCACCTGAGAAGTACAGGACTTCTCAGCCATTTTGGCAGGGAGGAAAAAGGAAATTTACTCCTCCTACTCAACATGAAAATTTAAGAACTGCTGTAATATAATAAAAACAAGAAAAATCAGATAGAAATCAGTCTTTTTCTACACTGGAGAACAAAATAAATAACATGTACATATAATGACCACATTAAGTTCTTAAACTGCTCAGGTACTGTACCTTCCCCCTACAACCCACAGAATCATGCACTATGCAAAATTCCTAAATACTCATAACCAAAATATATTGCTCATAACTACAAGTACTTAGAATTTTTTGCTACTTCAAAAGGGTATGGGAAGTCTCACACTGTGCTGACTCTCAATCTCTTCATGTTTCTGTTGCAAAGCTTGTGAAGCTCTAATCGAATCACCTATTCCCCACTGGGTTCTTAGCTGTTCTGATCCAGGTCCTTCAAGCCAGTTGACTACCTGTCAATAAGACAAAGATGACAAAAATAAAGTAGCAAATCAAGTACACAAACTGGTAAAAAAAAGAATTTTGTAACATAAGCAGAAATATTTCAAAGTAAGTATACATTTACAGAAAAAAAAAAATCTTTTTAGGATCTGTAGAAGTCTTGTTGAATCCATTCGCATCTTCAAAAGCTTTAAGTAGAAACTCCATGAAAGCAGGTGGCAGCTAGCAACAGATTTGTCATGCAATACTTATCGTTTCATATCTCTGTCAATAAAACCACAATATTCTTGATAATGGACCTCTCAGGCAAAAAAAAAAAAATCTTGTTCGAACACAAGTGAATTACAATGCATCGCTGTATTCAACCTCACATCTAAGAGTCTTCTCCTAATTTTGTTGAATGTATTAACACTCAAGTACAGGATATGTACTTATTCCAAAATTAAATTTACACAAGCACTTAATATTTTATACATTTATATCTTTCTCTATTCAAATAACAGAAGCCTCTTACAGAGTCTTAATGGCCACATCTCATGAGATCTGCCTTTATGGACATTTTTGTAGGGTCATGACAACAGAATTTTAGACTACAGCATTGGATTTCTTTTATTTTTATTTTGAAACGATTTCATTTGAAATTAGTATTATTCAAAGTAAAGCAAGAGTATCTCAAATTTTAGTTTCCTTATACACATTTGAATTATCAAATTATATCTATAGCAAAATTTATGATAAATTTTTAAATATCTAGAAAACAGAGACAGCCATGATGAAACCTAGTGCAAAAGTCACTTAATCCTAGAGTCCTGAAGCAAGGAAGTGCAGGAATACCTCCACATTCTGAACCTTAATGAAAAGCATAGGAAGCAAGCTTCCTCTCTTTAATGTGACTTCTGTTTAAACAAAGATGACAGAACAGCTTCACACAGTTTTTCAGGAAATATAATACAATACACAATGTAACACCGTAACCATGAAGACAAATGAAAAAGGGACCAATTGGACCATCTTCCTAGTGCTGCTAGGCTACATTGCAACAGTAATCAAGAATGACCATCACTATCACAGAAGGCCATGAAGATGATCCGAGGGCTGGAGCACCTCTGCTATGAAGACAGGCTGAGAGAGTTGGGGTTGTTCAGCCTGGAGAAGAAAAGGCTCCGGGGTGACCTTATCGCAGCTTTCCAGTACCTAAAGGGGGCCTACAGGAAAGCTGGAGAGGGACTTTTTATAAGGGTGTGCAGTGATAGAACAAGGGGCAATGGCTTTAAACTGCAAGAGGGGAGATTTCGATTAGATATAAGGAAGAAATTTTTCACTCAGAGGGTGGTGAGGCACTGGAGCAGGTTGCCCAGAGAAGTTGTGGATGCCCCATCCCCGGAGGTGTTCAAGGCCAGGTTGGATGAGGCTTTGGGCAACCTGGTGTAGTGGAGGATTTCTCTGCCCATGGCAGGGGGGTTGGAACTAGATGATCTTTAAGGTCCCTTCCAACCCTAACCATTCTATGATTCCACCCCATCTCTTAGTAATCATGTCTATCTTCCCATCTGCCTTTTTCACGTCATCCCCCCCCCCTACTCCCAGCACTGTTTTCAGAGCAGGTATTCTTTGCTCCAAAAGTATCCTGAGTCTTCCTTACTTTTATCATTTCTAGGGCGAATTAAGACTCAGTTCTAGGTTCTTTTTGTTTAAAAAGAAACTTCCTGTTGTGTTCAGCAACTCTGCACAGCTGTTACTGGTTGAAAATGGAATGGACCTAGAAGTGAAGGCACCCAGATGTCCCCCTGGAACCTCAGTGTAGCCCAGAAAACTCATATATGGAAATGACTTCTCATACAAGTCAAACAGTGTGCAAGACTACTGCTTAGCAGTGCCCGCTCTGACCAAGACCATCTCCCCTTCGCAAGTTTCCAGCAACTATCGCATTGCCTCTGAAACTGTCAAGCTTAGCACACAGCCGTTCTTGCGTGACAGATACTTGAACTGAAGAGAGAAAAGTCACTACGGGATGTGCAGAAAGAAGTGGTGTTATTTTCATAAAATATATTTTTAAATAGTTTATAGACTACTGCAAGGCCTGACATTAATTTTGGTGAATTAAGATTAGAAAAATATTAATTAACACCTCTGCCTAAGGAGGGACCAAGTTAGAATTTATCATAACATATAGAGTTGTTCATCAGCAGTCTGTTTAGTAGAACTGCTCATCAGAAAACGCCTGGAAATCATTGCCATCTTTACACTGCAGAACGATAGACAAAGGAAAAAAGAAACAAACTACGGAACAGAAGTAAGAGTGGTAGGTAAAAGGAGAGGGTAGGATACTGAAGGCACAAGGGAAGACAGGTGGTTATGGATAAGAGGGCTTTGAGACAGGAGTAAGAACTAAGCAGTTCACAGGAAGCATAAGCAGCAAATAGTGAAAATGAAACAGGACCACAAAAGCAAGCCAGGAGTGATTAGCAATGTAAGAACCTGTATGAAGAATGAAATAGGAATGTAATTGTAATGAAAGCTAACAAGAAACGAAAACACTAAAAAACCCACCAACACAAAACAGTAACACAAGGGAAAAACTTTCCATGTATGCACCCATTCCAACTAAAAATACCACAAATTCTTTTTGTTTTGGCAAAATAAATTCCATAGCACTTTGACTCTATTGGTTTTCTCCAGTCCATCATTATCTTCCAAATTTTCTCTGTTAGCATAATTTCCTCCCGTAAACCAAAAGGAAACTAAATCAATTTCTAGATTCAGGAAGTTTTCCCCGTACATTTGTATGCCATTTAGAGAGCTTTTAAATGCACTTGATACAACAGATTATCTTGGTAAAGCAGCAAAACACATTTCCTCCTGCGTACTGAGACTCAGTGCACTTATTATGTAGCATCCATAGTGTAGACAGAGTAAACGAGTAACTATTTCTAATACAAATATTGCAAAATGAGGCTGATGTCCCAGTAAACAAGTCTATTAAATGCATTAATGTCAGTTTACCAAAGTAAGCTATAAATTTCATTTCAACCAGTACATCTTGTTCAACCACTACCTTTAACAGAGGAAAAAAAAAATCTCACCTGATTATACCCACAGCTGTGCTAATATCTTCTATATAGTATTATTTTCATTTCTTACACATTTTTATTATTTCCAGCTCAACATATCAAAAGATGGCATTTGCTTTTTAAATTTTTCTGTATAATAATCTGAATTACTACATAAGTGAAAATTATTTCCTCAGTAGATTTATATTTTCACTGCTAGAAATAACAAGATTGATTAGTTTTTATCTTTACTCATACCTGGAACACTGTGAATTGCAAGTAATTAATTTGCACTCCTCATGCATTAGAAATGTCAGTGTTGAAAGGTTAAGAGCAATATCCATTCCATTTTCTACATCTTCAAACTATACAGAAACTTAAAAACAAATCTCATTTCAAGTAATAAACACAAGAGGAATAAATTAATTCCATTTCCTTGATTTTCTCTGCTGAGACTCTGATGAGAAAATGTTGAAGGTGACAATTACATGCTTGTTTCCAAAGGATCAAACCAATTCATTATGACCTTTAACACACGATTGATTGGGAAGGTTCATATTCATTCTTGTTAGGGTAACCTTGAAATATAGTGAGTTAAAGTGATTAAACTTAGTTAACACATCAAGCATTAAACAAATAAAGGAATAAATAATGGCTCATCTTCAGTAACAGGAACTTAAAACAACAGGGGCAGGGGAGGGTCTCCAGCCCCTCAAACATTACAATCAAGTGTGTCTCATTTGTCAACGTTCCTCTCTCTGCTAACAGGTCAGGCATTTGCCCCTCCAATGATGTAACAGTACACTGCCACAGTACACCAAGGGACAATGTGTAGGTTCTTCAGCCTGACGCCAAGACAGCACTTTTCTGATCACCTCTGTGTATCAGAACAGCCTTCAGAAAGTCACTGTGGTAGCCACAGTGTAAAGCATCAAGTGAAACTAGTAAGTTTGAATCAGAGTGAAAGGAGTCATGAAGCTCTCACCTCTGATTCTTAGTTTTGCAGGAAAGAGTCTGGAACTTAAGCTAGAACCTCCACCTCATAGTATTAAAGAACATCTCCAAGCTTACCTGCATTACCTTCTGCTGAATCTCCTCTAGCTGTGTGCGCTTGCTACGTTGTCTGCAAACTTCCTGGTAGCGGGTATATTGCTCTCTGAGTGAGTCTAGGAGCTTCATGACCTGTGGCTGAGCAAGTAGCTCATCATCCATTGGAGACCAGGATACCCCTCCATCTGAACCATTGAATCGACGCTGTTGTAACTCTGATAGTAACTCATGACCTTTAAGAACACATATAATGATGTGGTTAATTGCAGCAAGCAACTTTAAATTATTTAGCATATATTACTGTGAAATGAACGTGTCTTAAGATTTCAAATGGATTTTGCCACATTTTGGAAATAAGCATCTTGGACTTCATATTTTATATGGCTACACAGATAGGCACAGATAGCTGCAGAGCAAACACACTTAAAGGCTTTTACATGTCATAGTTCTCCTGGGATAATTTTGAATTCTTATTGTATTGTTTCGGCAGTAAAGAATTAACATTTAAAAAAAGTTTTTACCTTGAAAACTAAATTCTTATCAAATTCTAAGAATAATACATTATAGGTGGATTTGCAGCTTGTGAAAGTAACAGTACTTGTAACTATGGAAGACAGAAGCCTTTTATCTAAAACCTCAGACTGTTCATATTTACCCTTAAGAGATGGGTAAGTTTATTTGGAAGAGTTTAATAATTTCAACCAAAGAACCCCTAATTGTTTAAAGCTGGAGGGAAAGTCTAAGCAGTGAAGTGTTAGAGCTTCATTTTTACAGATGGTCAGCTCAGAACTAGGCTGACACAGATTATCAGAATTGTGTAGGAAATGCGATCTGTATCGTAACCATTTGGTGGCTACTGAGATAAATTCATTCTATAATGCCAGCATATTGAAATCATCTAGAAACAACATATTCTCAAAATTAAACATATTAATTATGATAATGTAAATATATTATCAGGATTATTAAAAATTATTTAAAAAGACACATTTGGAGTTCTATTTATTTGTTAACATCACTTTTTTTTAATCCAGCAAAGATGACATTAATTGATAAGCTTGTTACATTGTGACGATGGCTAAGATAATTATTGTGCCCTCCGTGCTTTCACTTGGGGTTTAAAAATGAAAAATGTTACTTTACTGACTAACACTATCATTTTTCGACTTACTATACCTGTCTGCAATACCGTCTCAGGATCAACCGATGGAAGGAAGTTCAAATCTATTGATCTTGAATAAAGTAACAAACACATTATTAATAATTTGTATTATAGCAGCACTAAAAAATTCAAACTAAGGCCAGAGTTAGCTGATGCTGTTAAGAGACTGTATGTTTCTTTTCTCATTCAGTAGTTATCACTTTTTCAACTCATTGTATCAAACCAGAAGTGCAGCTGCATGTAGTCAGTAGCCAAATGAGCATTCATCTATACACACATACTGATGAATTTTGTAGTCTATGTTATAAGCTTTCAGAATTTATTTACACATTTCAAAATGTTTAAGACATATCATATTTTCAATATTGTTTAAATTTCCAATGAAATTTTATAATCCAAATGCGCTGGTTTCAAAAAGCAAATCACATACCTTTCTTTTTCTTGTTGAGTTCCTTTATCACTTCCATTGTTAATTAGAGCAAGCTCATCCAGCAAGGATGTTGATTCTTTCGTAAACTTTTCAAATACCTAAATAAGAGGCAGGTTTTAATTTAAGTGGCAGTATCAAAGGCATCAGTGCAAACTTATCCATTAGTTCTGTTAGCACACTTCAATCTCTACACAGTGTAATTATTTCCCAACATTCAAATGGTAGGGTAGAAAGAGCAGAAAATACAATGTTCTGTTCAGGGAACACTTAAGAGCACAAAAATTTCTTAGGGAGATAGTAAATGTTACACTGAATGTAATGAAGATGGACTGAATTCTGAAAAATTTTGAGATTTCTGCAAAACCTGTCAATTCTTACGGACATATTTATCCTACATCTTCATTTAAGCCTTTAAGTAAACCTTAAGAGTAATGCTAGAGAATCAAGGCATGTTACACAAGCATCTGGCAGCTCATTTGAATGAATTAAAATAATCAACTTTATGAATATTCCAGATATGGGATATATTTTAATGAATAACTAAAATAAAAGATAGGTGTATTATATAGAAAGAAATATTCTTACAAGTTCCTTTGAATATAGGGGCTTCTGATCTCAGATAACAAGGCTGTATAGTCAGACACTGGGTACTGTTCTGATAATTCCTCTGTACCTGATTTCTAAGGGTTGATTTTCTGTTGGTTTGGTTTTGTTTTTCAACAGAACTGGGCATGATTTGGTGCCATAAGCAACATGTGCAATAACTTTCAGGTCTTTTTGGTGTTAATAAATTATTAATCAACAGCCTGCAGATGAACCTTCTTTAATCTATCTAGGACTACTTAAGTTTCAGGGAAAACCAAAAAGGACATGAGGTCCTTAAAACCCAATTTATAAGAGAGTGGTTTCTAAAATACAAGCTAAATTCAGTTGTTACAAAAGGGGAAAAAAAAAAAAATCCATAGAATTAAAATGTATAAACAGTTGTAAGCTATTTTTCAGCTAGTACTTTAAACAACCTTTCTGCCCTCTTGTCTAACTTCAGAATTCAGGAGTTGCAATGGAGGAGGTTCCTCATTAATACACAAAACAAGTGAACAAGACAAGAGAGGAGAAAGGAGAATGAAATTTTCAGTTGTAGTCTGAACTAAATACAAAGTAAAAGTCCCAGCTAGAGTGGAAGTACTGTCCTTATGAATTTTATGAACGCAGGAATAGGTGAGTAGAGGCCAGATTTGTATACACTAGACAAATACAAAGGACAATGCAACTATCCCTCCCCTGTACCCAGGCACTCTCAGTTTCAGGCAGAGAAGAAACAAGCTGCTTTGCCCTAATCCACGGACACATAAAGGCCATGCAAAGGCCAGCAGAAAAAAGCTGCACGGCAGATGATGCTGTCTCTGCCCTTGGATCTGAACTCACAATTTGACGAGATTCAGCAAAAAAGAAACATGGTATACATGGTGTAAGCCCTCCAATTTCTTGAGAGGGGAAGTACTGCTGCGAGACTGGCTGCAAAGTATGTTTGAAGGCTTTAGGCAGTTGCAGCTGGGACACACTGTGGAATATTCCTTGACCAGGAGATCCCAGATGGAGATGCACATTTTAAGAATAGATTGCATGGGAAAGGAATACACTGTTTCATTGAAGATTAAATATTGCTTTGAAAATTCAACTTAAGTAACTGAAAAACAAGTATCAATGAAGAATAAATTAAAAGCGTTCTTTAGTGCTATATATATTCATGGCTCAAGACTGAGACATTTGAAAAAAAAACTCACAACAGAAAACTAACCAGTCTCTTATTCAACCAATCCATGTGATCATAGGTAAGAGTTCCTCCAAAATCTTCTGTTAGTTGGCATGGTTCTATGTATCGAGTCAGCTTGTTGGCAGATACTAAAATAACCTGCAACAATAAAAGAAATTTTATGTACCCTTGTAAATAACACTCATTTTTTTCCCTATGTATCTGAGAAGATAGGTTTGTCCAGAGGTACTGAGCAGATCCTGTGGTTCAGAGAAAGCGACCCTTTTACTGCTAAATGTATAAATGGCTGGTTACAATTAATGTGGGCCTATAAAAGACAGGTAATTTTGATACGCAGGTTATATCCCATACCCGGTCCTCTAAAAGCACCATCGCTACCACCTTTTCTATTTACAATAGGAAAAACAAACTTTTCTTGAATAACTGTTTTCTTGGTGGAAACTGATACTTCTTGATCAAGTCATACACCACACGATCTATTTTTAGTGACTATAGTAGCAAGATATCATACTGCAAAGCACTTAGTATTTTTATCACTCTCTTGTAATACTTCCAGTCCAAGAGGTGCATTTGTGCCATAAAAGTTAAGTGTCTGCATTTAGTGTGCAAATATGCTCAGCAAGATACTAAAATAATTATCCCTGATAGGATCCCCTCCCTGATACGACAATGGGTAGTGGTTTTAAACTGAAAAAGAGTAGATTTCAATTAGATCTAAGGAAGAAACTCTTCACTCTGAAGGTGGTGAGGCACTGGAACAGGTTGCCCAGAGAAGCTGTGGATGCTCCATCCCTGGAAGTGTTCAAGGCCAGGCTGAATGGGGCTTTCAGCAACCTGGTCTAGTGAAAGATGTCCCTGCCCACAGCAGGGGGATTGGAACTAGATGTTCTTGTGAAGGTCCCTTCCAACCCAAACCATTCTATGATTCTAAAAGTTGGATAAACCATACTCTTTCTATGAGTAGTCAAATTCAAATCTTAGTATGCTTAAAAGCCTGAGTCATTCACCCAGGAGACAAATCTAGTTCATCAACCACCACTTCAGGAAATAAAGGAAAACACAGGTTCACTGCTAGTCAGAAGACTAAACTCTTCCCTTCATTTCTGCATTCCAGAGGCTCCTGGCTGAGCCTTATTCATATAAACCTGAACCAAATGTTAGCAGCACAGGTTCCTTTAACGCCTGGAATAACTCCTGTGGAAAAAAACTCCATATGGAAGCAGACATATTGGTAATATATAGCCAGAAATTTCTTTAAAAAATAGAATTTTGAGAACATCTCAGATCATGTACATATTTTTGCAGGGGACAAGAAAAATATGAAAAGAGCCAACTGGAAAGAGCCTTCTACTTCTAAGTCCAGCTCCATGTTCCTGCAGACGCTGGAAGAGAAAAAACCCATACTAAACTTGGAGATTTTCTCCTTAAAATTACCTCAAGCGCCTTGTCTTCCACTACTTCAGGACTGTTCAGATCTGTTTAGATCACTACATCAACTGATATCGCAAATCATTGATGAAATGACTATGTTTCTGAAATAAGTTTTGGGATCAAAAGCCATTCAAGTAAACAACCACTGATCATCTTTAAAAACTGAAATTAGAGGTTGTGCAGCCTCCATCCTTGAAACACTTTTGGAAGCGAGATTAAACCAAGTTACTCAGGTCTTTATCCGTGGATAAAGACCTGAGTAACTTGGTCTAATCTCACAGATAACCTTGCTTTGAGCAGGAAGCTTGACTGCAGACCTCCTGAGGTCCTCTCCAATTGGAATTACTCTGTGATTTTTCAATTCTTATAACTGAAGCATCCAGAGTAGTTCCAAATAAATGGTCTAATATTTAATGTAAAAGAACATTTTCCAGCAACATTCAGCAAATAGAGGCTCTTCTCCTGTATTCTTAATGGTATGTAGCTGCCATAAACGGAATTAGCTTTTATGTTCTTTAAGCAATTCCAGTAACCAGACCAAACCCCAGATGACTCTAGGTCCAAGAAAAACAAAGACTTTGTTCCTTCTTCTTTGGGCATACATTTACATTTTAGGCCATTTTAACATTTTCTTTTCATCTCTATGAGTTCATAATAAAGAAAAATAATTTACTCAATCAGGACATTTTGGTGTGGAAACTAAAGTAAACAGGGCAGCTGGTGCACATCACTTAAATACTAGTTCAAAAAAAAACCCAAATAGCCTGAAGAAAAAGACGGACTGCATTTTTTTAACTGAGATCTTTCAGAAAGGAGAGCAGGCAAAGGATATGCTTTACAAACTTGTACCAGGGAAACATTTAATTATTTTTCTCCTGCAAAGCCAAACCTGCCCGTAACATATATTAGCTATACAAGAAAACAATCCCCCGACAAAAAACTCCCACCTCACAAGTGGAGGTCAAAAGCCACAAGTTTCTTTTTTACTTTATTAGAAAAATTCTGAAAAAAACTTCCACCTCAATAGTAAGTCTTCTAGGAGTAGGTTTCTTCTTTTTAAAAGAAATAAACAGTTTCTTAAACAGTTTATTGACTGCTCACCAGCATAACTGCAGAAATTCTGTCTGAAGGCTTCAAAACAAACATTTGAATTTTTGACAAGGTGGTGGCAGAAGGGAGGCTCTTGGACAGAATTTAGCTCTTGTTCTAGACCTAGACTAGAGGCAGTGCTAAAGTAACACACTCCATATGCCTTAAAATAGCAACTTTGATATTTCTAGGTGTCAAAAGTGCAATTTGCTTCTCTGAAGCTTCTGAAACATTGTTTTAATCAGCTACTACAGATTAATAGTCCATAGCAACATAGATTGAGAGACAAAAAAAAAGTTGAAGAACAGGCATGGTGTTGCACAGGGAGAAGATAAGACACTTTTAAAAACATGAATTCTACTTAAATTTCAGCACCTATAGCATGCAAACTTTTGCTGTCACAGATTCATGAAACTTTTCAAAATCCAATCAGTGACTGCCTTTGACCTTTTGGGAAAATAAATGTCAAATTACCACATCCTGAAAAACGTTTTCCTTTATGAATGAGCATTCCACCTTTGCATTTGAATTTCACACTTCAATGTATTTTCTGTTGTACTTCACAAAGCTTTTAGTCACATGGGCTCTTTAAAACCCTCCGTAGTTTAATACTTTGTTAACAGCTTACTTCGAATTATTCATCATCCTTTCTTCTAAAATTATCATTACCAAACTGCAACTGGACTGATTTTTCTTTTTTTCCTCTTTTTCAAAATCATCTTATCATGTTGACTCCAGAAAAAAAAACAGAAACTTTTCTTAAAAGTAAAAACCTATGGACAGCAGACTATAGTTGGATGTTGAAGTGAACAGCTTAAATTTCCTAAGGAGTAAATTAATAGATCTGGACAGATGGCAAGACAGAAAAAAAGTATAAATTATTGAATCCTTAAGTCTTTGGTTCCCTTCCCACTTGATCCACCCACTTCCCACAACAATGACACCTAATCAGGTGCCAGTGTTAGTGGGTTTCAAACACGTCCTGTTTGCTACTGACCAGAGGCTGTCAGATGAGTGATCATCATCATCTGTACTCAGTTCTTTTTAAAACCTAGAAGAGTGGTAGCAACTCTCATCATTGCTCTATTTTAATCAGCAAGCTTGCTTTGTACAATATTGGCCTGCTAAAACATTGTGAAAGCCTTTGCAGAAATAACTCAAAACAGTGGTTTGGGAGAAGTACAAGTGCTGTATTTTTTTAATAAAAATCAAAACAACTTTTTTAAGAACTACCAAACAAAACAAAAATCCCATGTACTGCAAAGTCTTGTGCTTCAATTGCAAAATTCCTTTATTTCTCAGGAGTGAGACTAGTTATTTTTTCTAGTACCATGATTTTGACACACGCAACAGTACCCCTGACACTTATCCTCCATTATGGAAGAGTTTTATGCTGTTTGTAAAAAGTTGACCTCTCTCTGTACATTATTTGCTACTTTTTGCAATTATTTTCATTGATCATCTGCAATGAGATAGAGGCAGATTTCAAGATCAGAGGGGAATTCTGGATATTCAATAGGACATGTAAAAGTGCCCCCAAAATGTTCAAAACATCCATCTGAACTTTCTTTCTTGAGGGAAGAAATGAAAAAGCTCTTTCATAAAAATGTCACAGAGTTAAACACAGAAGCTATTAGAAGGCAGGATGATGTAAAACCTCAGTAACAAGGCATTTTTTTCTTAGGTGTGTAATATCACAGCAGCCACACTACTGAATCTAGAAAGGAGCAGTTACTTTCCAAAAGAACACAACACGCATATTCCTTGAGAACACAAAATTTAAACAAGTGAAATCTAAGCATATGATGATCTGAGAGAAGTAAATACCTGTATTAAACTTCACAGCTTAGTATCAGTGAGCAGTACATTTCAGTTCTGTGACAAACTAAGAAAATTATCTTAAAAAAACTGGATGGTAATCTACATTTATTATCAGAGCAAAAACGTCATACTTGGAAATAGGTACAGAAGTACTGTAAGGGGACTAAATCCTGTTTTTAATGTTAGAAGTAGAAATGTCTTAAAAATCAGATTTATTTAAAAGAATAATTGGTGTCATGTCTTCAGAAAAAATATTTATTAGTAACTGCCATTTACACAACACAAACTAAAAATGCACTGAATTTCACAGAACAGAAAAAAGTCAATAATTTATGAAATCATTATGAAAACAGAGAAAAGAATTCATTACATACACATATCTATACTGCTTATAATTTGTCAGTCTGGTTTTGGTGGTTTTTGTTTGGGTTTTTCTGGGGGTTTTGAGTTTTTTGTTTGAGGGTTTTGTGGGTTTTGTTTGAGGGTTTTGTGGGTTTTTACACTTCAAGCAACCTAATATCCAATAACCAAAAAGTCTGGCTAAGTTAACAATTCTTTGTAAAGAATTCTTGCCAGATGTGCCCAACTTCCTGAGAAGTTTATATGGGCTGAAAGTGCATTATCAACATATGCCACAGTTTCTCACTTATTTTAAATGACCCTCACGACCATGTGGGTACTAAGTAATGCTAATCATGAAATTAGAATCTTTTTCTAAATATGCACCTAAGAATAATAGAACGTATATGTTATACACAGTATTAGCTGTTTGATGTTATGTAAAAGTGGTAGAAATGCAACTAATTGCAAGAACACATGCATACAATAATATATGTTGTATATATATTATACAACTGGGTTCCCCAGGGCTCAGTGCTGGGTCCAGTTCTGTTTAACATCTTTATCAATGACTTCGATGAGGGGATTGAATGTACCCTCAGTAA